TTTTAAATTTGATTTTTTTTTTTTTTTTTGCGATATGCATTTGACTGTTTAGTCAAAATGATGGTTTGAACCTTATAAGCCATTTCAGACTAAAGACTAAATATTAGCTATTTTTAGCTATATCATCCAGATTTAGAAGTTGTGTTAGTCTAAACATTTATCAACACAATCATCATTTAGAATTACTGCTTTTATTTTATTAGAAGTGCTTTTATATTAGGGTCATTGACTCCAGTGGTTTCTGATGATTGTAAATCAATAACAATTAAGACTCTGAATAGATGTTGGGGTTCTCTTAGCTCTTTACTTTTTGGCATGCTCTAGATTTTGTCTTGGGTAACACATCTCATCTTCTCTTTTTAGTTTTACTAGTTATGTGATGTGTATGTTTTGTGCAGATGACCACAATCCTAGCATTTCTGCTTCTGGCACTGCAAATACCTTTGCTGTTTTAATGTTACTGTCATGCTCCCAGAATTTTCAGATAGCCTGGCAAGGGAGGCAAATCGTATAAAACTGTGGAATGATTGTTTGGTTTATCAGTGTATGAAAGAAATGCATGGTTGGACATGTAAGTATATGCAAGCGAGCACGATTGGTAGAGATTTCTTTTAATTCATAAACAACAGGTAAATGTTTTTAGCTGTGAAAGACATTAGTTATATTTACATTGTCCTAGGATTTGTATATGATGACCACAGTATGCTATATTTTTGTCACATGACCTTGAGTGTCGTTTTTGTGTTAACATATTGGGAATCAATATGGTTTTGTAATTGCATTTTGATTATATAATTTCCCGTACAAACTAATAGAGATATCAAAATAGAGATGTTATGAAATGTTATTCTAAAGATTAAAAGGGTGTAATTTTTTTCAGTGTTGAGATATTTTCTCCTTAATATGCACAGATAGCTGAATGTCAATCCTTTGCAGGTTGACATCCTAAAGAGCTGTAAACACGTATGGCTCTGTGGCATTTCAAAACATTGCTCAGCTTGTTTGAGCAGTCCAACATGTTATCTTGTCCCAAACCTCAGATTGTCCATTGTAAGTTGCTTTGGATAAATAATCTGCTGAAATGAATGTAGTAGAGGATAGTTGCCACCTATGTCGTGCAGCAAAACCCAGCCTATTATCCTCTAAAATGAAGCTAGGTTAGCGCTGATGACATTACGATTCTTGTGTCTTGGAGCGAGGCGATCTGTAGGCTACGCTAGAGCTCTTCAGCTAGGCCCGAAGAGGGTTTTGCACACCTTCCCCTTGGCCCTCTTTGAGACACTGGAGGATTCAGGAACTAGGACAGTTGCTTTAATTTTAGCTGCTCCAGCCCTCTGGCAGCACAGAACAGCTTTGTACTTCAACTTTTTTTGGCTGAGACCTGCAGAGGAGCTCAAAAGTTTTCAGCCCTCTCGAAAACAGGACATGTCAAATTGTAAGATAAATAAAACTGTCCTCATTCCTAGAAAAAGTTTATGCAGACTTCTTGCTTGCAATAGCCGATTTTCCACTGTCGGGCCGGTGCGAGTCAGTGCTTTAAACGGGCCGGGCGGGGCTAATATCCTCGGACCTGTAGCATCGAGGCCAAAATCACGCTGCGTTTCCACTGTCGGGCCAGAAGCTCCGCTGCGCTTCACTAAAACCCGCCCTTTACACGCCTCTCAGGAACAACGTCACGCAACCCCATCATTTCACCAACAAAGAGAAGTTATCAGAAAACGAATAAGAAATAAGTCACTGGAACTAGCGCGATCACAAAACGAACATGATAAAAGCGGCCATTTGTTTGCATGCTTTGTTAAAGATTTAAATCCAAAAGCATCAATGTTTTACAATAATAAGTGATACATTGATCATAATGAATTAATTTATCAGGATTGAAAATTACTCACACAGAAATAAAGTGGTATGAACACTCTTATTTTTATAAAAGCTCCCGAACAAAAACCATTATTATATTTTTATTACATGCGCTGAGCTAAACTCTCGAGATGAGACTTATGACAGATAAAATATGTTACTAAGTAAATACACGATTGTGATAGAGAATTAGAAGCTGACGTCTGATTTCTTCAAGCGGTCGTATTTATGTTTACTATGGTAACGTTAATGGCTAGCGTGCATAGTTTTGCATCGCTTATAAATATTTCTGCCTTGTATGGTTATCATAATACACTTTGGATCAAGTTATTTCAAACTCTCGCTGCTGTCTGAAAGTGAGTTTTTAAACTAAACTTATTTTAAAAGTCTTTAATGCTGGTGTTATAGCTGTTAACTTCATGAAATGATTCGCGGCGCTAACGCTCTCCAGACGCGTAGAAACTCCGCCTTTGTTCATAGCCACTCCTCTAGCCCCAGCCGGCCCGCTTTGTCCCAAGGTTTTCGTCGGGCCAAAAAACCCGGGCCGTTGGCCCTGAGGAAGCACCAACGAGGCACGATCAAGCCCCGGAAGTGACAGTGGAAACGCGACTGGCCCTGGCACACACTAGCACGCCCGCTTTTGGCCCGACAGTGGAAACGCGGCTAATGAAATCAAGATATGCACTGTAGCCTTGACATTTTTATGGTATGGTTTATAAAGGAAGTTGGATACTCTGACTTGGTCTTGTAAATATCAACAGTATCAAGCAAGTTCAAATGGGAGATTCGGCTAGGGATGTGAATGTGCTCAACATATTTGGGTCATTCCACACTTAGTGTACAAGACAAAAATTGGTCAGGCTCAGGCACTTAAAACATAATTTATTTACCCAATGGCAGAAGAAAATGAACAGGAAGAGCTTAAGTTTGCCATTGCTCAGTATGGCTGTCAAAATGGCTGAAAAAGTAAATTCGAATTTCGTACTTAAATATTATCAAAATTCGAATTATATTCGAATTTAAAATGCATAATTTCAGTTAGGGTGAAGAAAAGCTCTTGGCTTCTCTTCTGAGGCCACAAGAGGGCGCATCGAGCAAAATATTACTAATGCACATTTATTCAAAGCATAAGATAACATGACTATCTGTGAAAAAAGTGCATAATGTTTAAAATAATGTTTATAAACCATTTATAATTAATTAAGTTGCTTAAACAACTATAAACAAAACAGCATCATGTATGTATGCGTAGTTTAATACAAAGGGCCGAAAGCCAATCACACAGAGTACATTTTTCATTTAAAAAAATGAGATGCAGTGAGATGGGGAAAAAACTAGAGCCCGACCGATATATCGTTTTGCCGATATTATCGGCCGATATATCGGTATCGGCGAATATGCCACCGATATGAAATTTTTTTTACAGAACATATAAC